ACGCATGAATGTACTAGGGGCATTGGAAAGATCAAATGGCATAACAAGCCACTCATAGAGTCCATCTTTTGTCTTGAAAGCGATCTTCCACTCATCTTCGGGTCTTGTGCGTATTTGATGATATCCATTCTTCAAATCTATCTTTGAATAGAAAATAGAACCAGCCATCATGTCTAGTAGATCATCAAGGTGAGGAATAGGAAATCGATCCTTGATAGTAATCTTGTTAACAACATGACTATCAACACACATACGTCAAGTACCATCTTTCTTCGGTGTAAGCAAAGCGGGGACAACACATGGACATAAACTATGGCGAATAGAACCCCTGGACAGCAACTCATCCACTTGTCTTTTAAGCTTGGCATGCTCACTTGGGTTCATGTGATATGCTGGGAGATTAGGCAATTGAGAGCCTGATACAAACTCTATTGTGTGCTGGACACTACGTATAGGAGGGAGCTCATTAGGCAACTCTTCCAGAGCTACATAAGAAAATTCGGACAACAACTTTTGCACTTCAAAAGGAATATCAGGTTTAGCAGCAACAAGAGATTTTTTTACTTCTTTAATCACTATAGCATAAATAACATTTGGGTCTTTTGCTTTCCAATTCAAATTGCTTCTTCGAAAGGATGTGAATAGGTCTTTGCTTGCCCTCAACAACACACTTGGGCTTCGATTCTTCATATTTCTTTATATCATTATGTGACATAGGCTTCAAAACAATAGTCCTCTTTCCAAATAGAATATTGTAGGCGTTTTCTCTCCCACAATGCTTGACATCTTGATCATAGAGCCAAGGTCGGCCAAGAAGGATATGAGTGACTTTCATAGGAATCACATCACATAATATAGTCACTGTATTTTTCACAAGAAAAAGAAACGAGACATCGTTGAGTTACCGGTATAGAAGTGTTATCAATCCAAGCTGCTTTGTATGGTTGAGGGTGTGGTTCCATCGGAAGCTTAAGACGTTCAACTATGGATGTCGACACAACATGCATACAGCTTCCACCATCAATAATAAGTTTTTTGCTTGATTTTCACATCAAACTAGCATCTGAAAAATATAAGTGTGTCATCAATCTTCTTGCTCCACTTTAGGGGCCGCTAGAATGCGTCTCACAACGGAAAGAAAGAAGTATCCTCTTCGTCTTCCTCCAAATCATCTGTGTCATATGCTCCATTATTAAACGAATTATCTTCATTGATATCCTTGTGTGGTTGCTCTTCGTCCTCATCTTTCGTCCCAATATGTAGGTGGTTCTTCTTTGGACATTGATAAGCCATGTGTCCTGGCTCACCACACTTGAAACAAACATCCCTTTTGTCTCTCCCGTTTGATTTATTAGTCATAATACCTTTGCCTTTAGGATCAGCCACATTTGAGGAAGAAGCTTGTAATCCGCTTGATCTATGGAATGATTGATTTGGTGCTGTCCTTGAGCCACGGTTTGTATCATTAGGCCTCTTTATTGCTGTCTCCCCTGCTTGAAACCCCACTTTTCTAGTAGGTGGATATCTCAAGCACTCTTCCATGTCAAGCGCCACTTGGAATGCATGCTCCACATTATATAGGGGTTGCCGAAGTAATTCTCGCTTTAAATCAACCTGTAGACCAATTTTAAATCGAGCTAGTGTTTGGCGGGGATCTTCCAAAACTTGGCTTTGAGTCTTAAGTTCATCAAACCTTTGTATATATTCTGCCATCGACATACTGCCCTATTTCAAATTAACTAATTGCTCACATAATTTATCATGAAAATTGGTAGGCATATATTTTTCTCTAAGCTTTACCTCCATCTCTTGCCATGTGTTTATAGGAGGTTGTCCCAGTCTTCTTATATCCCTTTCCACGCCAGTCCACCAAACTTTTGCCAAGCCTACAAATTTCTTCTTAGCAAATTTTACTCTCCGGTCGTTCGTCATATCATACCAATCAAAGTATTCCTCGATTGAAGAAAGCCAATCGAAAAACACGGTAAGACTTACCCTTCCTTCAAAGTCTGGAACATCTATCCTAACTTTTTTTGTGATATCTCCTGCAGTATCTTGTGGTTTATATTGTGGCCAATCAAACATGGGATATTCGGTTGATTGATGACCTTGGGGAGCCCTAAATTGTTGTGTTTGGGGAGGATTTACCTGTTAGTCAGTCAGCATCTTGATTCTCATGATTCTCTCCAATATTACTCGCAAGCAGAATTTTCTCCTTGCACATCAGCCTTCGCACCACCATTGGGTTGAGTGTTTTGACCTTCTACATCACTTAATCGAATTGAGATATTATTACGTTGCTCCCAAATTTGAAAAAGCATATCATCTCGTTGTCCATCTGTCAATCGCCCACGAAACGATCTTCCTGAACGTGTAGACATGTTGGATCCTTACTTTGAAACCAAACTAATATAGGACTACTTTGTAAAATAAAAATAGGGGCTGTTTAGGGGCTATGAATAGTAACATAAGAATCATTCCTAGGCTTCTTTAGGCATCACACCTAGGGTTAGAATTCCATCACACAACTCAAGATGTATGTAATTGTTGAAATTTCTGAATATCTCTCTCTATCTTTTATTAAAAGTAATACTAACTATATATAGAGTTATAAGTACTCCTAATCCCAAAAGATTAGGATTCCAAAGTCTTCAGAACTTCAAAGACACTAGGTCCCTACAAATTAGAAAATTAAAATTAACTAGAACTAGAATTTTAAATTTTAGAATATTCAACACTAGAATTTAACCTAATTTGACTCAAAAATATGATTTGTTCCAGAAATTTTAAAAATTACAAAAATGCCCTTGACTCCAAAAAATATTAAAAAATCCACATAAAACACTAATATTACCAAATTAACTCAAAGCAACTAAAAATAAAACTCTATCTATACTTATGCAAGCTCCCAAGTAGGCTCTGCATCAGTTAACATATGCCAAATTAAAGCTCAAGCCGTGGAGGCTTATTTTTCTCGCCTTTTATAAACTTTATAATGTTGTCATCTGTCCCCATTAGGGAAGCATACAAGCAAGGATGTGTTAGAGGTATTGTGGCAATCAAGTTTATCATGCCAAGACGAACACATCGAGGTGAGGTATCACACTATCAGAGAATAGGTGGAGTATGGCAAGATAAGTTTGATAACAATACATATAGAGAATAATGCAGCCGATATATTGACAAAGCTAGTGACTACACAAAAGTTCAAGCATTGTTTGGACTTGATTAATCTTTCGTACTGTTAAAGATTGATGAGGCATCCCAAGGCGTGAGGATGGGCATCTCAAATTGAGATGTGGGCCTGAAGTTTTAGGTGGAGGTTATAAAATTTTCGCCAAAGTGGAGATTTGTTGGTAGTGGCTTAAATTTTTATTTTGATTGGTTAAGTGATATTATTGTTAAAACGACTTGTTTTGATTGGTTAGATGATATCATTGTTAAAAATACATATTTTCATTAGTTAGATGATATCATTGCTAAAAACTTATTGGAGGATACAAGTGGAACAATTTCATTGCTTGAATGAGATGAGGGTTCCTCTATAAGTGGTTAGATGATGTCATTGCTAAAATTTTATTGGAGGATACAAGTGGAGCAATCAAATAAATTGCTTAAATGCATAGAAGTTCATCTGCCACTACCTTGAGATGCTTATAAATAGGCATGAGTCTTTTGGTTTTGAGATCATCTTGAAAGTTGTATTTGTTAAATTTTCATTCTTTTGTTGAGAATATGAGAGGTTTTCTTTACCGAGGGTTTGAGAGAGTAAGGTTGAATGGTTGTACAAGGGGTTAAGGGTTTGAGATTTAAATTTAAGAAGTGAGACTTGTACCATTGTATCCATTTTTTCTCAATAGTAAAGAAAGGAAATCGGATCACGTCTTGTGGACGTGGGCAAAGTAATTTTGCCCAACCACGTAAATCTTGGTGTTGTGAGTTGTGCTATAATTTTCTTTATTCCACTTATTTATTTTCTTGTCGTTGTACTAATCAAATTTCTACGAAGTTGATTCCCAACAAATAATTTATTCCTTCAAAGTGGATCGGGTAGTTCATATTGGTACTTTTGGCTATATGTACCAAATATTTTATTGTTGAATATGTGGAATTTATAAACCACTGCACTTGGATTAGTGATTGTATGAAATTCGACGATTGTAAAAACTCCTGGAACTTTGCTTCTCTCCGATGAGATGTTATTTGCGTGCCTTGCTTTGGGTTAGCATCTTCGAAAGAAACATAGGACTTCATTCATTGAGCTCATGATCGGTCATTGAACGATATTCTTTATACTCTATTAATTTCTTAGTCCCTCTAGTTGGGCAGGCTTCGGCATGTCTTCTGACCAGATACCCCCAAAAAGCATATGTGCGGGTCTCCCTGTATGAGGCTTACGCCACTCGAGGTGGCCCACCCCAACATTTATTTGCAAATCCTATAGTGCAATTGAATCTGCCCAACCTCGGATGCTAATTCGCGTGTAGACAGTGCTTTGTATCACACCGCTAACTCTATCTATCGATTGAATTTGCATTACGAGAGATCCGAATAGCCATCAACAAGAATTCGACCTTTTTTTAGCCCCGTGTTAATGAATTTGTAAATATCAAATATGATTTAAGTAAATACAAATATATTATCTTACTTTTATCGATTGAGAGCGAAAAAATTAGAAGTTGTTAAAGCACCCACCCAAAAAGATTGTCTCGCGCCGCCCATGCATAAGGAAGGGGATTGTATCACTGTTGGAATTTTGCCAAAGGGGCCGCTCAGTCCAAAAATTCTGGAATTTGGTGGAGAGATTCTCTCTCTTTAATGAGCTTTTCTCTGATGAAAACTAGATATTCAGGAAAACTTAGAAAACCATTTTTGTGTATTTTATTTTCCTTAACAATGACATCAGATTACTTCTCCCAAAAAAAAAAGAGATCAGATCAATTGAAACTTTCTCCAATGAACCTGAGCAGGTAAACATTTCTTTATGGCCACGTTTCAAGATGGTGTTTGACATGCACCTCAACAGCCTGCGGAATGCCAATGTGAGGACATTGTGGGAAGATGATGTTCATCCACACTATGTCATGAGGCGATATGCTGAGTTCACAGCCTCACTTATTCACCTTAATGTTGAATATGGAGATGGTCAGGTTAGGGATATTTGAAGGTTCATGGTGTTCAATATGCCATTTTAGATTCTACTGAGAACAATTACTTAAATGTGCCATCTCAATGTTTATAGCTTGAGCTGAACTTGGAAAGATTGAGAATGGCCATTGATGACTTGCTTGTCAAGCTTGCGAAAATGTTTCCCAAACCAAAATTGCAGACGGTGTTTCTAATAAACAACTATGACATGACAATTGCTGTACTGAAGGTAAGTCTCAGTATATATCTCTTCTTTGTTTAATAACCACTATTGGCATCAATTTAAAGAGAAGCTGAGCTTGAGTTTGCTATATTTGCAGGCAAAGAAAATTTGGAAAAGGGCAATTGTTTTAGATTGAATTTACATTTATTTAATAAAGATGCTCACAAATGTTTTGATTCTCACTTTGGAGCTTTGATATATGCAATTCTCTGTCTGTCTCTGTCTCTCTTTCTCTATCTCTCGTGTGGGTTCTAGGAAGCAGGTTCAGACGGTGGGAAAATTCAACTGTACTTTGAAGAACTGCTGAAGAACAATACATCAATTTTTGTGGTAATTTTCACTCAGTAATAGCTTTCGAAGCTTATTTGCATGTCAAGAATATTTTTCTGCATTCAAATAAGTACAAGTTGGCTCTCGCCGCTCTCCAATAGGGACTATTTTTCCTTCATGTCCCCTTCCCTGACTACAGTTAGGGATACAGAACAAGAAAGGTTGATTATGGGAACAAAATTAGATCTACATACTTGATATGGTGTCTCCTTTAATCTTTTTGTAAGGTGTAAAGCCATCATTTTCCACCCCAAGATATAAAATCTGTTTGAAAGATGCGTCTGATTAATAAGTTAAATTGGATTTGCAATAAATCTACCCAGACGAATAAAATTGAATGTATGTGGGGAACAAACATAATTTAGGCACAAAAAACTATCATATTCCCATTGTAGCACTTGAAATGTCCAAGTTGCGCTGTTTGGACTTGATTGATCAACAAATTCTGGTGTTTTGTATTTGTTAACACTAATTGGCACATTGGCTGGATCACTAATGGAAATTCCCTTAATGGAAAATTTCTTGGCAGTTGAAACTTCATCTTAGCTGTTCTTGGTGGTTTGGATTATCTGGTCTGAATCTCAAATGTCATCCTCAGTTTTGGGTTATTTAGTTCTTAAGTTCATTCACTTTTCCTCGCAGGAAGAACTACTCCTCGAGCATTTTAGTGATCTTATCAAGTTTGTAAAGACTAGAGCCTGTAAGTATCTCAAGAAATGTTATCATTACATATCAGTCTTTTGTAACATTTTGAGATGGGCTCATCCGCAAGTTTCTTTCAGCTGAGGATCCAAATTCTGGTTCTGAGAGGCCCATAACTGTTGCTGAAGTTGAGCCACTTGTAAAGGATTTTGCTGGTAGATGGAAATCCGCAATAGAGCTGATGCACAATGATGTTATTACTTCTTTCAGCAACTTCCTGTGTGGCATGGAGATCTTGAGGGCTGCATTAACTCAGCTGCTGCTTTATTACACCAGGCTCTCAGATTGTATAAAGAGGATTGCCAGTGGGTCTGTACTGAACAAGGATCTTGTTTCCATATCTTCAATAATGTATGAAATCAGGAAATACTCAAGGACTTTCTAGATCATTGCTCGTGCCCTGACACACTGTTGAAGAACTAGTTTAACGGTTGAACATCATCGTACCCGGTGCACAAAGCTACTCTTCTTTTGAGTATCAAGACAACGAAGTCTGGCAAGGTAAGTGGTAGGTCATTTTATCCCTATATTGGATGCCAAAAAGAAATTCGACTATTTCAAAGGGTGTTAAGAGGATCAAGATCTCTTGGCGTTGCCTGTAATTTACCTTTTTGAGTATTGTGAGAGTAATAACTCATGGATCAAGATCTCATTGCAGTTCATTTTATAAGGAAAATGATGATCTGACATTATAAGGAAGATTTGGGAATAATTGTAATATTCAAGGTATTGCCTCACTCCTACGTTGATGTGTGAACCCTTGTTGTAAGAACGTGGCAAACAGATTTGAAATTTGATGAGTATTCCATTATTTTTTTTATATTGGTTTTGGTATTAAATTGGTGGTAAATTATACTATGTAGTTTGGGTCCCTAGCAATATACCTCCGCATTGTTTTGAAACGTACGGCTTGTACCCTAATGGTTTTGAAGTAAACTGTCACAGCTAGAAGTTTTCCTGAAGTTGTCAATCAGGGGTCAAAGTCAAATTTCTTTTTTTTTTTTTTTTTGGTAATACAGTCTGAGTCAGTTTATGCATGTTTTGATTAATTTATTCCCGATTTGGTCAATGATCAATTATTCAAGTCGGTATTAAGGAATAAATTTTTCGTGGTTTGGTTATGAGGAAGTTGTTTAAATTTTGAACTCAGGACACTGGGTTTACGATTAAGTAATGTGTAATACTGATTGTTATATCTTTATATATTAACATGTTTATTTTATTTTTTATGCTAACAAATCTTTTTCTCTCGTGTCTTAAAAGTTAGTCTGTTTTTCAGTTGCTAAAAATTCTCGAGGGGAAAAAAACTGAATTATTAGAAAGCAAAAGTTATCAATCGTTAAACCCAATGTAATAGTGCATTTTCGTTCAAAACCTTTAGATGGTGAAATATTGGTTTTCAAACCATCAAGGGGGGATATTGTGTTTTGGGCGCAAAACATGAGGTGTAATTTACTATTACTTCTGTTGTTTGGCCAATAATATTTCGGTTGGTTGAGGGGATGTTTTAATTTCCAAATCTGCATCAATAGAAATGATATTTTTTCTTTTTGGGTATATGATAAACATAATAACAATTTGCACTAGCAGTTTAGTTGTGTTATTTTTCAACATTCATCAACCTTGCATTTAGCATTTTTAAATGAACTCCAGAGCAGACAAATGCACCAATCATAGGGGATAACTTTTTACTGAAAATATCAAACATACACCCAAACATGCACTTTCTTTCTCATCCCCCCCCCCCCCCCCCCCCCCCCCCAAGCACCCACATAACGCAGACTCGCAAAAAAAGCATGCACACACACAACACAACACAACCCAACCCCCTCTCTGTCTCCTCTTTTCAATTAGATCTCTAGCTTATACGCAACATAAAGTAAGGGGAACTTTTTTCAAATACTCGGTGAGAGTACATACACAAACTTGACATGAAATCACTTATTTTCCTTGCTTATTTTTCACTTACTTATTTTACTTGTAAACAAGGCAGAACTTCCTTTACATTAATTTTGATATATTTATAGGTTCTCAAGCATATTGGACTAGCATTGCTTATATATGTTTCATGTTTATACTTGCATGATGATAACCTCATACATGTGCTTATGTTATGCCTTTCATACATCTGATGTTTTTCATGAGATATTAGTTTGAGCTGTAATGTGCAAGATTATGATCTTCAACACATTCATATGAAGATAGTTCTTATACAGAAATATTGAGATTTAGAGATTTGTACATGAGTGTTGAGATTTCATTACAATTTATTTTGTTCAATGGTTTGTGGATTGTAATGCAAATTTCTTACTTGTATATTTTGTCACAAATTTGCCAAAGGAGGAAATTGTTAGGATCATATTTGTAATTAGCTAATTTCATGAAGTCTTTTTGAAAATATCAACCTATTCCATAGTCATAATCCGACAATGTTCAAGATCCGAAAACAGCAAATGAAGGGAGGAGTTCAAGCTACAATGCCACATTAAAGACTCTTCGAATGCACCTTCATGCCTTAGAGACCTTAACACCCTTAGTTTAATTTTAGACTTAATATTTTTGTTTGTTTAAAATAGAATCGGTGATTGATCTATTAACGACTCTTATGTGATCTTTAAAGAAAAGTTTTCGAAACCTTTACTGTGTTTTAAAAATATAGGATTGAGTCATTAATCATGATCCCATTTGAGCAACACTCTTTAGTGCTCAAAGGCAATAAATTTTTATTTGGTTTCTAGCTTAAAAACCAGTAGGGACTGTCATTTGCTCGCTTCTCTTCGACTATCGCGGTCTCTAAACACTTACGAATATAATCAAAAAAATGTTGAACGAATGGGCAGTGTTGATTGCCTTTTTACGTTTACTTGACCCCCAAGGCTAATTTTATTTTGAGCCTATAAATTGGAGCCTTCCCAAGCTAGGTATCTCTTTTATGACTCCTCTGCTCAAAGTATATCCATTGATGTCACTGTGTTTTTGCTCACTAATGCTATTATAAGGGGGGTGCTCCACGAAAGGGGTACCAGCCCAGCCTCCTTAGGGACCCTTATGTCCCTAAGCCTTGGCACACCAAAGCAAGACATGACCTCAACAAATGCCCACAATAGGTGAGGCAAGACATTCTAAAGTCCAAGACCCAAGATGTGGGGCTGATGATTGGAGGGACCCATCTTTGGTGGAAAACCCGTGCATGGCTGAGGAAGGCAGCGCATGCATGGGCACGTTGGCATGACCAGTGGGTCGATTGAAGCATTATTCATGCCTGAGGGAGGTAGCTTGTGCATGGGCACGTAGGGCACAAGCAAACAAGCAAGACTAGCCGGGTGGCTTGATTTGTGGGGCACTGTGCTTAGCTTGGAAGACCAAGCAATGAGCTGGGCATGACTTGGCAGGAAGGCAAGGCTAATTAAGGTGTTTTGGGTTGTAATACCCAGGGTAGAAAAAAATGAAATAATAATAATAATAATAATAATAATAATAATAATAATAATAATAATAATAATAATAAAAGTGAATAAGTTGGATTTGAGAAGTTTTAGACTTTTGTTTAACTTGGGGTCTATCCTTATGAGCTTATGGATATGATTTGGAAATTAGTGGAGATAATTTAGCTTTTTGGGTTTAGGGAGAAATATTAGATAATTATAGAGACCTATTAGGAGTATTATACATGTGGTTTAAGTAGGGTAGTATTGTTGGATAGGTCAAACCCTTAGTATATATATAAATATATTTATATTTATAGAATTTTTATTGGTGAGAAGGCTTGTGGAGGAGGTTGTCCTATGAACAAAGAGAAAAAAAATAACGTGAAAGAGAGAAAGAGAGAGAGAAAAGAAAGTAGAAGGAAGAAGACAAGTGGGTTAGGACCTTTAAAAGTGAGTTTATTATTTATTTTATGAGTTTTATAATTTATTCAATCACATAATATTAAGTTGATGATAATGATAATGCGTAATATACACACACACACATACACATACATAATGAGTTCATGATATTCATTTATTATTATTGAAATTATTAGATTGAATTTAAATTTGTAGGTGGTTAATCAATAGGTTGAAAAAAGAAAAAAAAAAGAAAAGGGAATGGAGTTGTTGTGGCAGAACAAACAACCTGGGATGTCCGTAGGTAGAAGAAGACCAAATTTAAAAATTATAAAAAGCTCCCATTTAGTTTCAAAGAGCTTTACTTTGATCCCTATATCCTTCTAAAATTAATTTTTAACTATTGTTTTACTTGGTATGCTAGAATAATAGAATTTCAGAAAAATTTATGGCAGTCCCGAAAATAGAAAATTCATTTTTTAAGAAAATTATACTTTGGCCCTAAAAGTTTCAAAATTATGATTTGATCCCAAAACTTTAGAAACTTTTTATAAATTGCCCAGATTACTTCCATACCCTATTAGCTCACATTAAAATATTATTTCTATGTAAAAGATATATAAAGTATATATCAATCGGTAGGAAATATAAAAATTAAATATAAAATCGCGAAATGACGAAGTTAGGAATATGGATTGATCGTTATATATTTTTTTGAATTAGGTGGTGATTACATTGAGGTTGAGAAATAGGGCTTTGAATTGAATTTTGGGAATCAAGGTGAGTAGTTACTACTTCTTTTGGGAGAATTTTCTATATTAAATTTGTGGGTGCGTGTGTGTGGATTTTTCATATATATGATATATGTGTTGATGTTTGGGGTTGCAATTAAATATTTTAAAATTGTGAACTGTTATACATGTGAATTTTGGAAAACTTGTGAGATGATTTTATATCATTGCTTTGGTGATGAAAGGAAAATTTTATGTGCGTTGGGATTAAAACTACAGTTTTGGTGTGTGTGAAAATCATATTTATGAGACGGGGACTAGGGTTACCAAGTCTAAGTGGTAACAAGCGATTAGGCCAGTCATTAGGCTAGTGATAACAAAAGACTGAGCTAGTTATTAGGCTAGTGGTAACAAGAGATGAGGCCAGTCATCAGGTTAGTGATGACAAAAGACTGAACCAGTTACCAGGCTAGTGGTAACAAACATGATTTGACAAATGTATTTAAAATTGAATGTGTGTGTGGGTGTTTTGGGTTATAAATATCTTTTCATTTATAAAGTTATTTGTGATCATGAAATCATTTTGTTTAAATGATTATGTGGGAGGGGTTGAGGTACAATTTATTGTACTTATGTGTGTATCAAAGTTTATTTTTGTATATAAACTCTGGGATTTATTTTCACACTTCATTAGAGGTGGTTGCTATTCACAGGCCATTGTGCTCATCCAAACATTTAAGATCTTTTAGTGAGGATCAGGGTGAGGAGTAAGTTCACAGATAGACAAAGGATTAGAAGAATCGAATATTTATTTTATTGTAGGT